AAATGAGTTGGAGATCCGAATATTTATTTTTTGTGCCTGGGTCTGAAATTCCAGTGGGATGGATTGTCAAGAAACTTTATTCTCAGATTATAACTTTAAAATTTAAAAGGGAGCAATAAACAAGCTCCTGTGGCTTTCAGAGCCTGAAGAGCAGCACGTGCAGATTTGAAAACCTTTATTTTATTTTTAAGCTAGTGCTGCTGCATCTTGTTGGGGGTCGCTTTGTTTTGCTTTTTGTTCTTGGCATTCTGAGCCTGTTCACTTTTTTTCTCGAATATTTTGAAATTCCCAGATGTGGAGAGAGCTCACGCTTTCTTTTCTTCTTACAGGCATCCCTCCTCCTCGCCCGGGCATGTTACGGCCACCTCTGGTGCCTCCCTTAGGACCTGCCCCACCTGGGCTCTTTCCACCAGCTCCCATTCCAAACCCCGGGGTGCTGAGTGCCCCCCCCAGCCTGATTCAGCGGCCCAAGGCGGATGACACCAGCGCGGCCACCATCGAGAAGAAAGCCACGGCCACCATCAGTGCCAAGCCGCAGATCACCAACCCCAAGGCGGAGATCACGCGCTTCGTGCCCACCGCCCTGCGGGTGCGCCGCGAGAACAAAGGGGCTGCCGCCGCCTCCCAGAGAAAGCAAGAGGATGAGCCCGCCCTCCCGTTAACCAAAGCTGCCCCTAAGGCTGGCTCATCTGCCCCTATCTCTGTACAGACAAAGGATGATGTGTATGAAGCCTTCATGAAAGAAATGGAAGGTCTCCTGTGACCTGTCGTAGTCCTAGTCAGCTTTCCTGCCCCTCTGAACACGGATCGGATCACTGTGGAGGGAGAAGAAGGGAAAGTCCTCCTGCAAGCAACGAAAGGGCATGTCTGGAAATAGTTCCCTACCCACAGGTTAACTTGCCAGTGTGCTGCGACTGGAGACCGCTGCAGCTGAGGTGTGCCTGGGGACCTCCTTTCAGAGCCACTTGGTGAAAGGAAATTGCAGTCAAGAAGGCGATGCTGCTCCCCTCAAGTCCTCCCCCTTCCTTAGAGGGAGATAATGATACTCTGGGGACGGGGGTGACTATTCCCTGCCAAAATCCTTACACACCCCGAGTGCTCTGGTGAGGGTAGTGGAACAGGTTTTTAAGGAGCCAGAAAAGTGTTAGCAGCATTTCATACACAAATGGTTGTCCACTTTTTATTTTCTGTACTGGGTTTGGTTTTTTTTTTTTTCCCTGTAAATATTTTATAATCATGTTTTTTAGTTGCAGTGAGGTTGATCAATCATCTTTCTTCCAGGGTAGTCAGGGAGGTAATTTGTTGCATATACTGTACACTGGAGTTTTGCATCCTCTCCCCTTTATGGTCATCTTGATGGATTTTTGTTGGCTGGGGAAACTTCATTTTGTCTTGTGAGAGACAATAAATGTTCAGTGTATCAAAATACCACTTTCCCTGTGATTTGTGAGAAACTAGCAGGCAGGTGGAGAGGGGGGAGGGTTCTTTGCTCGCCTTGGAAGATGATACAGCACTCAGAACCTCAGAAAAGTAATAATCACATTGTAAATAACATATACTTACTTTTTCCCACTAAGCTTCTGCTATATTTTTAAGTTCCTAAACATCCCTTTTAACCTTTATGGGTAGCTAGTAAAAACCTAAGCTCTGAAATACTACTAATAATTACGAAACAATTTATTTTACACACTGAATAGGAGGTTTGGTTCATGTCAAGCCTCAGATACCTGCTGGGTGCACCATGGACAGGCTACCTTAAGTGAAAATTAGTAAATAATTTTAATATTAAAAGATTGACTGACACAGTTTTAGTTGTGGCTAATAATTTTAGGATAGCAGACTATCAGACACCTCGAACAATACATGTAGTTGGTTGTAAGTTTCAGGCTTAGCTGAATGCACCATGTTTTGGGGTTAATCCTGCTCTAAGGAGACAAAGTTATTAGCTAACCAAACTTACACTTGAAAACTTTGAATCTGTTTTCACAAATTCTGGACACAATCAAAAATGTTTGCACTGCAGTTCTCTATGCCGAGAACATGTAAAATTGACATGAGCCCGCCCACCTAATGCATATTGTGTGATGTAACTTTACCCAGTTCTTGAAACACGAAATTCTTTCTTTATTAAGCAACTTCTGTTGTGGAAGTTACCTGATGACATCAGCGTTTTTTACCAAAGTTGAGAAGATTCGGCCTGGAGACAGATAATTCAGCTGGAAAACACCAATATGAGTGATTGCAGAAATACTGAAGTATTTTTTCTCTAGAATCAGAGAAATGTCTTGTATTATGACTTCCTGCCTAGTCTCTATACGTATTAGTAGTGCTGGGGTGTAAATGCTCCCACTGAAAGCAAAGCTTCTCTTTTATCATAACAGCAACACATTTTTAAAGTAGCCCTGCAGGTTTAAAGTGCAGGATTATTTCTGAACCGCCAGCCCTGGCATTTAGCGGGATGTTCCCGCTTCCAGGGCGGCCGCCGTGCTCCGCCGCGCTCGCGGCGCTGGGGCCGGGCGGGGCTGGGAGCGCGCGGCGGGGGCGGCTCCGCGGGAGCGGCCGCCGGCGGCTCCCATTGGTCGGATTTGGATCCGCGGCGCCATTGGTCGGAGCGAGCCAGAGCGCGCCGCAGCCAATCAGAGAGCCAGCGGGGCGCGCGCAGGAGCTATAAAAGCGGCCGCGCGGAGGGCGCGGCGACACGTGACCGCGTCGGTTCGTGCAGCGGGAGCGGCGTTGGGAGCCATGTCGGGTCGCGGGAAGCAGGGCGGCAAGGCGCGCGCCAAGGCCAAGTCGCGCTCGTCGCGGGCCGGGCTGCAGTTCCCCGTGGGCCGCGTGCACCGGCTGCTGCGCAAGGGCAACTACGCGGAGCGCGTGGGCGCCGGCGCGCCGGTGTACCTGGCGGCCGTGCTGGAGTACCTGACGGCCGAGATCCTGGAGCTGGCGGGCAACGCGGCCCGCGACAACAAGAAGACGCGCATCATCCCCCGCCACCTGCAGCTCGCCATCCGCAACGACGAGGAGCTCAACAAGCTGCTGGGCAAGGTGACCATCGCGCAGGGCGGCGTGCTGCCCAACATCCAGGCCGTGCTGCTGCCCAAGAAGACCGACAGCCACAAGGCGAAAAGCAAGTGAAACAAATCCGAGGAGCGTTCCCGACCTCAAAAGTAACCCAAAGGCTCTTTTCAGAGCCACCCATTTCCTCATAAAAGGAGCTGTACATCCTGGTGAAAAAGCAAACTAAACACATCTTCCGTCTTGCTCCCCCCCTCCCCCCCAATCGCCTCAAAAAAGCTAAAACAAACAAAAACGACCAATCTCCCCTTAAACACCCCAAATCCTTTACAATCTTGGCTCTTGAAAAAAATCCAAACCCAAACCACCCCGAACACTTTGTATCTTAGCTCTTAAACTAAGATCAAGACTTTGAAAAATTTACTCCGTAGTAAAATCATTTTGTGCTGATGGGGGTTAGAAATCTTGTAAGGACTGCAGGAAAGAACCCCCAGCCCCATCGTGCCTCTCCTTTTTCAGCCGGGCCTTGTGTGAAGTTCAGGTAATTCTCTGATGTCTTTAAAAACAGCCCTGCCCCTGTAAACAACTTTTAGACCTACAGACACTTTCAGGTCAGAAATCTGGTTTGGTTTGGTTTTTTTGTTGTTGTTTTGCATTAAAAGGCATTCTGAGTTACTAATCCCTACATCTTATTAAAAAATCTTTGAGCTGCTGAGCCCATTTTCTGCCCCAAATCTGAAGGAGTTTGAGAATAATTGTTCATCACAACGCACAGGCAATGTGAGGTGAAAAGGACTGTTGCCAGTTCTGATTCTCTCTTATACATAGTGATAAATATAAACCGTAAATATGTTGAAATAGAAACGGAAAATTTGCTATTGTAGGTCAAAAAAACATATTCTAATAATTATCCATTTGAAAGCATCAATTACTTGAATCATAACATTGTCCAGAATTTTAGTATCACCAGCAGTTACAATATCAAGAGGTAAAAAGGAGTTTACAGGCCTTTGGCAAAACAATAGGTTGTAGGCATTAATGAACACATCAGAGAATACTTCTTTTAATGCTTTCTACTCTGAAAAACAATGAGCATTTATTTTTAATTGAAGCTTGGTCTTGGAAAATTGCTTCTGAGGACTGTCCCTGCTCTTGCTTAGCAGCCAGCTGTTTCAGTGTAGCAGATAGATCAAGACATGCCATTTTTAGTATTAATTCCAGTGGAGGGGTCAGTCACTGGACAGTAAGAAAATCGAATATTTAGGAAATTGCTGTGAAAGAGGAATCCTAACTCATCACTTGAGCAAGTTTTATTATGTTCAAGTAGTGGGAAAATCAGCTGCAGCAGTGTCTCCTTAAACAATGATGACTCAGATTTTTGCCAATCCAACTGTATTAAAATAAAATCACTGACACATCATGAAATGATAGGGCACTGGTTATCATTATTAACAAAAATTGGCCGTGTTAAGTTTTTATGTCGCCTAATTTATTAAGAAAGCTGAGTGTTTCTGTAGCTAGAGGACGAGGGAACCATGTCTGCATTGTGTACACTGAGCACCGCAGCACAAACTGCTGCCCTGCCAAAAGTCACCTCCTTTGGTGGGACAAAAAGCCCTTCACGGGGCTTTAACCTGCTCCTTACCTTGCTGCATAATGCACTAATTTAACTTCTCTTAATTATTTTGAAAGAAGTAAATGATTCTGGACAAAGGAGCTAATTTCTAATCCATATTCAGTGCTCAGGATGAGCCTGTGTTACTTACTCCTCTTTGAGATCAAATTGCGACTAAAATATCGATTTAAATCCCTCATTTTCAGTTCAGATTAAGAGAAGACCCTTTAAAGAATATGAATTAATTGCTTTGGAAATCCAGTTCCCCACATCGCGGATTTTATTTAGAAGGAAAAACAAAAGTTTCTGTCTCCCGAGGTCTGTTCAGGTCCAGGACTCAGCGTTTATCGCCTCTTTTTTAGCTCACCCGTTGCCTCTTCGAAAGGAAACTTGGCCGAGGGCAACAAGAGTCTCTCTTCTCCACGCCGCTGCGAACTGGGGGGGTGTCGGTGGCGGAAATTCTGACAAAAACAGCCGTTTTCGGCTGCTAAGAAACACAAAATGAGCGGCGAGCAGGGCGCTCTGTGCCGAGCGGCGGGGCGGGCTCTGCAGCGCACCAATCAGCGCGCGGCTCCGCTCTATAAATAGGAGGCGGCCGGCCTGCTCCAGGCCCAGTGCTGTCCCTGCTGCCGCACCATGTCCGAGACCGCGCCCGTAGCCGCTCCCGCCGTCTCCGCGCCCGCCGCCAAGGCCGCCGCCAAGAAGCCGAAGAAGGCGGCGAGCGGCTCCAAAGCCCGCAAGCCCGCGGGGCCCAGCGTCACCGAGCTGATCACCAAGGCCGTGTCCGCCTCCAAGGAGCGCAAGGGGCTCTCGCTCGCCGCGCTCAAGAAGGCGCTGGCCGCCGGCGGCTACGATGTGGAGAAGAACAACAGCCGCATCAAGCTGGGGCTCAAGAGCCTCGTCAGCAAGGGCACCCTGGTGCAGACCAAGGGCACCGGCGCCTCCGGCTCTTTCAAGCTGAACAAGAAGCCGGGCGAGACAAAAGAAAAGGCGACTAAGAAGAAGCCGGCTGCCAAGCCCAAGAAGCCGGCGGCGAAGAAACCCGCCAGCGCTGCCAAGAAGCCCAAGAAAGCGGCGGCGGTGAAGAAGAGCCCCAAGAAGGCGAAGAAGCCGGCGGCTGCAGCGGCCAAGAAAGCGGCCAAGAGCCCCAAGAAAGCCGCCAAGGCTGGGCGCCCCAAGAAGGCAGCGAAGAGCCCGGCCAAGGCGAAAGCGGTGAAGCCCAAAGCGGCCAAGCCCAAGGCGGCCAAACCCAAAGCGGCCAAGGCGAAGAAGGCGGCTCCCAAAAAGAAGTAGAGCTGAATGAGAGAAAGTGAGAGTCTACTCATCTAAATAAACCCAAAGGCTCTTTTAAGAGCCACCCACTTACTCTCAAAAAGAGCTGAAACACTACGGTCATACACCAGCGAGCCCAAATCACAGATTTTGGTGGGAGTTTACATGGCGTTAATAAAATTCAGATTTTGGGCACGAATGCGTTGGGCAACGCCTGCGTGGGAGATTGGGGCTTCCTTTAAAGGGAAGTGTGTCCCTCCGTGCAGTTTGGGAGCCCTGCGATAGCAGCTGTGCCGCCCCGCCCCTGTGCACTGAGCGAAGCACAAGAGGCGGTGCCGGGGCCCGCCGAGCGCCCTTTGCTCCGCTGCCCGGGGCCGTTCGAAAGTGCCGCGCCGGGCCGCCATTGGCGCCGCGCCGCCTCCCGCCCCGCGGCCCGACCCCCCCGCCGCCGCCGCCCGGCCCTGACGGCAGCGCCGCGCAGCCCAGCCTCCCTCCCTCCCTCCTTCCCTCCCTCCCGTCCACGGCCCCGAGCCGGGGGGGCTGGGAAGCGGGAGGGGAGCGCAGCAGGGCCGCGGGATTCATAGAAGAGTCTGCATTTGGAACAGCCACAAGATAAATGTAAAAGGAAAAAGATGCAACCAGGAAAGATATGGAGACTAGAATACAAACACTGCTAATAGTGTTTAGAACTAATCGTTTTGGCCCACAGAGTGTGGTTTCTTTTTCATCAATTTAAATGAGATGGAAGCTGTGATTTAATTTGTAACATGAAATGATTGGATTTCTTCTCAGATTGAATAAATATTGGAAGTATATGTTTAAGTCAAAACCATGATAACCCTAAAAATTAGATGTGGATTTTATTCTGCAGTTTGAAATTATCACAAACCAGAAAATCAAGCTGTTTTCTTGTTAATATTACTTCATTGGGCAAGAGGAAAACATGATGCTATTTCCTTTTGGAAACCTTAAGGACTATACAGAAGTCAGAAGACAGAAACTTGTTTTTCCTTCTAAATAAAATCCACAATGTGGGGAACTAGATTTCCAAAGTAATTAATTAATATTCTTTAAAGGGTTTTCTCTTTAATCTGAACTGAAAATGAGGGATTTATCCACGGCCCCGAGCCGGGGGGGCTGGGAAGCGGGAGGGGAGCGCAGCAGGGCCGCGGGAACGTGCGGGCCGTGCCACGGCGCTGCCCGGCGGCTGCAGGGGGGCAGGCAGGGCTGCGCCGCACGCGCGATCCCGCCCGGCTCGCAGCAAAGCTCGCAGTGAATCACTGATCGCCCCCTTTTTTCGGCAGTTATCTGCTGCGTAACTCGGGGCCATTGGTGTTTTAAGCCTGAAACCCCGTCGTTGAGAAACCCGCCTCAGAATTAAGCCGCCAAGACAGAAAAAACCTTTTTTATTTTACTGCTGCAGTGCGCTGAAAGTAAATGCTTCATGTTTCGAGTAAAAAGCATTTAACCCTTAGAAAACTGAAACTATTTCACCCTCCCCGCGGGACTTTGAATTGGACAAGCTATTGCTGCTTTCAAGCCCCTTGAGAAGGAACTGGATTAGAGGTTTGACCAAGTTTATATACCACGCGTAGACAAGGTAAACGTATAAAAAAATCTTATGTACACTTAAAATTTGCTAAAGAGCACCACCTGATCTAATAATTAACGTGCAAATGCTAAAGCTATTTACATACCTCCCCACCAAAACAATTGATTCAGCTCTTTTATTGAAATAATTGGTGGCTCTTAAAAGAGCCTTTGGGTTAAAAACGACGGTCCGAGACGCCCTACTTGGAGCTGGTGTACTTGGTGACAGACTGGATTTACCTGGTATCAGAGGAGGAAGGTTTCTTGTGTAGGCCCATGCCACCTATCTGGAACAAGTGAAGAAAGAAGAAAGAGATCTTAGCAAGCTGAGCTTGCTTCTGCTCTTTTTTCCTTTTCACCATGCTGAGCAGAAGCACAGATCCACAGTGATCTCCAGTCTGTATGCAAAATGTCTGAAGGGAAGCAGAAAAAGAAATATTTGGGATATTTTTCCTTCCCAGTGAGAAAGGTGTGCTTGACAGTGCTTCTGCTGTTGCATTTCTCCTGAACTGTGGAGGAGAAAGCAGTGTGGAAAGGAGCAGCTTAATGCTACCTTGGTTATCCTGCTGCTCTGTTTTAATTCCTGCCCTCTCTCCACAGCCCTGCTGCCTCTCATCCAGAACAGGGATATTTGTTGGAGATTTAGATTCATTTCTGAACAAAACTTCAGTTTAGTTTGGTGCAATTTTCTGTGGGGAACACAGAGAAAAGAACCAAGAGGTCCCAGGAAAAGGTAAAGAACAACTTGGCCATCAAGAGGAGACAGAACATAGCAATAGGGAAAATTACTGATGAGATACACCTGTCTTGAGGCTGGGATTATTTGGGAAATTTTTAAAGTGCATGATGAACCTTAGAACCACATTTGAGAAGCTGGGTTGCAAGGCTGTGGGTAGCTACTGTAGATCTTTTAGTTGTTGAGACTGAAAATTTAGGCATAGTTGTATGATTTGCTCCATACATTGTTGCCTGTAGCTGCAAGTTTTCTACTTTAGTAAATTGCTGAGTGATGTTATCATCTGAAGACCCTGTAAATCCCTGGAGAAACATTAAATATATGTGCCACATTTCAACAGCAAAAAAGAAGTGTACTAAAAATGGCCGAGGTGGAAAAAAAGAATAAAGAAGGGGAGGAATTCAACCATGCATTTTCAAAAAAAAAACCCGAAAAACCAAACATATGGACACTGAAAACTACTAAAGGTGATTAAGATGATGGGACTCATTAAAATGAATGCAGCTGTAGAACAGCAGTAAATAAAGGCTCGGGCATGGCTGCAGCTCTGTGCCTGCTCGGTCACAGCGGAGTGACGGATAATGCGATTACTCCCCTATTTATAGGGCCCTTATGCAAATCTCCGGTATCAGAAGTCTTCGCTTCCATTGGACAACTGGCGCACTGACGTCACCAGCCGAACGGAGTGCTCTGCTATTGGTGGTTTTTAAACACCACGCTAGGATTGGTCGATGATGAGAATGCTGTCAGCCAATCAGAATGAGCCCTTTCAATCCCAGCCTTGGCTGCTGGAGCTCCGCGGCGGCGCCGCCTCTCCCGGCGGGGTCACCGCAGCAGCAAAACCCAGTTAAGGGCATTTCTAAGGAAAAACAAAACCAAGAGCAGAAACTAACAACTTGTGAGGCCTTCTGCTACTCTCTTTTTTTGTTTTCTTTTTTCCCTACAAGAAGGAGCATACCTACATGAAATACTTGTTTGTGTTCAAAAAAGTAATACTAAACGGAAAAACCCCAAAACACTGAAAGGAATAGTTGGATAGCTATCAGTAAAGAGTGGCACCATGAAAATTACTGAACGCATGCCACTTTTTAAAAGCACATGAAGTGGTGTAGGTTTTTGTCATAGGTATTAGCACCAAGAGACAGAAATCAGCTCCTTCATCAACACATCAGTCCCATAAACAAAACAAAGCTGTGTGATCATTGAGTCTAGGACATGGGACACACAAAAGAACTCCCCCAGGGTGAAAATGTAAAGTGTTGCCCTCACAGGGAATAAAACAAACAAACCAAAGACTAGCACATTACTCCCGTTTCTGAGCTCTCGGTAGAAAAGGGTTCATTTACCGTAGAAGCGGGACCGCGGCGCCCACACTTTCCCTGCCCGGCCGGGCCCTCTGTCGGGGCACAGCTCGCTGCCGGCGGCGCAGCGGGGGCGGGACGCGGCTCTGCGGGCCCGGCCGCCGCCATGGGCCGGGGTTTGCTGCAGCCCCGCGGCCGGCGGGGTCCCGCTCCCTACGGCACCGAGAGCCCCGCGGGCGGGCACGGGGCGAGCCGGGCCGGGATCCGCTGCGGGCCCGGCCGGGTTCGGCCTCCGGGGGCGGGGCGGGCCCCAGCCGGGATCGGTCCCGGCGGGAGCGGCGGCGCCAAAGCCCGGCCCGCAGGGGAAGGGCGCGCAAAGAGCCCGCCCCTGCCCGGCCCCGCGCAGTCCTCAACCAGGTCGGACCACCGAGAATATACACAGGCGCGGGGCTGTTTCTAGGGCATTGAGCTGATAGTGTGGAAGCAGAATCATGTCTGGTCGGGGCAAAGGCGGCAAGGGGCTCGGCAAGGGCGGCGCCAAGCGGCACCGCAAGGTGCTGCGCGACAACATCCAGGGCATCACCAAGCCGGCCATCCGCCGCCTGGCTCGGCGCGGCGGCGTCAAGCGCATCTCGGGGCTCATCTACGAGGAGACGCGCGGCGTGCTCAAGGTCTTCCTGGAGAACGTCATCCGCGACGCCGTCACCTACACGGAGCACGCCAAGAGGAAGACGGTCACGGCCATGGACGTGGTCTACGCCCTCAAGCGCCAGGGTCGCACCCTCTACGGCTTCGGCGGCTAAACTTAAAATAGTTCTGATTCATACTGTCTAAAACACCAAGGCTCTTTTAAGAGCCACCTACAAATCTCACTATAAGAGCTGTTTATTACTGATGCGTATATCCGCGTTGTTTGGGTTATTAGAAAATGTAAAAATTAAATTAAAAAGGGTAAGAACTTAGTAGACAGCGAATTTCCATAGGGCTAACATCATTAATGGTGGATGCACCGGTGAATGTGGATCCACCCAGCGCAGTTTGTGTCACGCGCTATTTTGTCAGTGAATTTTTGTTTTTAAATCCAGCACGCTAACTGCAGCTAGGATTGTGTAAATGCAGCGCCTGAGCTCTAGCGGTTACAGGACGGAAGTGCCTGAAATTACGTTGGTGCTTTCTACTCCAATAGGAATGGAACAATTACAATCCTCTCATTTGCATAACGCCGTTATAAATAGGGGGCGCAGGCGCCATTTTCGAGGTTGTTGTGGTACAGTGAAGATCCTGAAAGAAAACATTAAGGATGCCTGAGCCGGCGAAATCTGCTCCAGCACCGAAGAAGGGCTCCAAGAAGGCGGTGACCAAGACGCAGAAGAAAGGTGACAAGAAGCGCAAGAGGGCAAGGAAAGAGAGCTACTCGATCTACGTGTACAAGGTGCTGAAGCAGGTGCACCCCGACACGGGCATCTCGTCCAAGGCCATGGGCATCATGAACTCCTTCGTCAACGACATCTTCGAGCGCATCGCGGGCGAGGCGTCGCGCCTGGCGCACTACAACAAGCGCTCCACCATCACGTCGCGGGAGATCCAGACGGCCGTGCGCCTGCTGCTGCCCGGCGAGCTGGCCAAGCACGCCGTGTCCGAGGGCACCAAGGCTGTCACCAAGTACACCAGCTCCAAGTAAAAGGATAGTCAATTACAAACCAAACGGCTCTTTTAAGAGCCACCACACGTTCCTAATAAGAGCTGTGATTGCAAATACCTGTTTTTTTTTTTTTGTTTTGTTTTTTTTTTTCAATGTGTATTACATAATACGAATCCAAGAACAAATACGGTATAAGTAATATGCCAATACATAACTTTTCAGGGTTCTCTTCCCTTGTGTTATTGACTTAAGTAATTACAAGCTCTATTTGTGAGATCTGTGTGTGGCTCTTAAAAGAGCCTTTTGTTGTAGAAGCGCTGAAGGATAACAAGAACTGAGTTTAGCCGCCGAAGCCGTAGAGGGTGCGACCCTGGCGCTTGAGGGCGTAGACCACGTCCATGGCCGTGACCGTCTTCCTCTTGGCGTGCTCCGTGTAGGTGACGGCGTCGCGGATGACGTTCTCCAGGAAGACCTTGAGCACGCCGCGCGTCTCCTCGTAGATGAGCCCCGAGATGCGCTTGACGCCGCCGCGCCGAGCCAGGCGGCGGATGGCCGGCTTGGTGATGCCCTGGATGTTGTCGCGCAGCACCTTGCGGTGCCGCTTGGCGCCGCCCTTGCCGAGCCCCTTGCCGCCTTTACCCCGACCAGACATGGTTCAGTCCCTGCACCAACTCACTGCACACCGCCATCCGCCCTTAGCGTCCCTTTATTACGCGGGAGCCGACCTGGTTGAGGACTGCAGAAAGAGGCGGGGTTTCCTGCCCGTCCTCCCCTCCCCGCGCGGCCCCGCTGGCGCTTCCCGCGAGACGCGGCGCAGGCGCTCTCCCGCTCCTGTCCCCGCCTGTTCCGAGCGGGGCCGCGCCCCCCGCCGCTCTCGCGCTCGCCTCCCGCCGCTGCTCCCGGAGCTCCGGCTCTCCGGCAGGAGCAGGCGCGGGCATTGCGGCACCCTCTGCCGGCGCCCCCTTCACCTTCCTTCCCCCTGCCCGCGGGTCTGCGGCAAAATCCTACCAATGCGGGCCCTCGCCTTGCGCTCCCGCCCCGCCTCTCCGCTGCTCTCTGCCCGCTCACCCCGCTTCTGCTTTGGACGCTTCAAGGGTTCCTTTTTAATGTTCTGGCTATTAGCATTTGCCTGCATAGACACCTTCCTCGGGAGGATTTATATAATCTCTGCCAACCTTGTCCTCTGCGCCCTACAGCTTCCTTCTGTTACTAAGTTCTCTCTGTTTAAAATAGGAGGGGAAGGAAACTCTCAAGCCGTGTCATGTCGAAGGCTTTTACTTTTTCCCCTTTTTTTTTTTTTTTTTTTTTTTTTTTTTTTTTTTTTTTTTTAATGTAATGTCGAATTTCCTTAGTGAGGATTAAAGCGTGAACAGTTCTGTGGCCTGTGTGTTACTGGGCTTTGTTTTTTGTTTCCCTACAAACACAAGCGCACACGCGTGCTAACATGTTCATCTTGTCTGTCATACCTTTACCTATCCAGCATATTTTTGACCATTTCTAGGAAAACTGAGAGCATAAGGAATTCTAAAAGAATAGACCATAAGGAAGAAGCCACTGCTTGCAACAAGATTTTCTGGGAATGCTTCCTACTCGGGAAGTAGGAGACCTGTTCTTGTTCTGCACAGTAATGGAAATTAAAGACTATTTCGAGTTTCTCATGTTAATGTTTGGGTTATCCCCTTGCTAAACATGTGCCAATTAAAATAGGAATGCTACTCATGTTTTTACAGTCAACACTAAAATACAGATCAATGTTCTAGTACTACTAAGTTTCCTGGATTAAGGCAGAATTACATAAACTAATAAATTTTTCCTGACACAAATACTATTAAGTGAATGTATATTGAGATTAAAATAATGTTAACAACTAAAAAACATTTGGGGCCACTTGGCATTTTCCTTTTCTAATTTTAACAGCAAAAAATTTTCAGAAATTTCTATTGATTTTGGGTAATAATAAATAATCTTTACAGTTAATAGAGGAAAATTGACATAGAAATACATAAGTCTTCAAGAAGTGTGAAAATAAGAATTTCCCAAAGAACCTTTTAGGGATTTCATTTTGGTGTGATTTTTCTTTTAATTTGCATTTAGTCTTCATATTCTGTGAACTCTTAGCATTCTAAAACATTTTCACTGGCACAATTATTGTAACTTCTTTGAAATAGAGAAGGAAAAAAAGTGCTGCTGTAACAATGTCCTCATGCCCTAGCATCCTTCTTTCTTATTAACGACTCACACATTTTAGGGTAGGAAATTTCTTTCTTTACCTCCTCTCACTTATTCCCTCAAAAGTGTAGTAGACACGTGTTCAAAAAGGAATTTGTTGTCTTTTTGTAAGATAGATTTATCCGAATTACTTTTTCCAAACACGGGCTCGTAATGAAACAATTCTGAGTTTGGTTGGTTTTCTGGGGTTCATTTGTTTGTTTGCTTGCTTATTCTAATATCTGTGGTTATCTTTCAGCTCTTTTCCTATTTCCCTCTGCAGCAGACAACTTTGTTCAAAACTCTTCAGCCTTCTCTTGTGAAACTGCAAACTTACTGATAGAACCTATTTTATAACTCAGGCAACTGCCTGGTTTGGAATTGTGACTCCAGCATTTAGGGATGTATCACAGTGCATTTGATTTTCATTCTTCCCTAACAGAGGCCCTCTTGGCTTTCCTGGTTGGTCACCTTCTGACGGGCACCGCTAGCCAACCTTCTATTTTATTTAATTCCTGCTTTTCAGCTGGAGCCTTCTACAGGGCAGTGATCCATCCACCAGCACGTGTGGGACACCCTCCAGCCACATCAGCCTGGTACTCTTAAAAAGCAAAAGCAATTAGCAACTCCAACCCCAAACCCAGCGTGTTAAATAAAGACATCGTCACTGATGGAGAAATGAAACAGTTGTGGGAAGACACCCAAGGGAAGGAGGAGTAGGATACCATCCCTTCTGCAACAGTGAATACCTGGTGGAGGCTCAGGGAGGGTCCCAGGGAGGCTCTGGGAGCTCTGCTCTACATTTCCAAGGACGGGGGTGGGTGAGGCTGTCTCTCCTGTCACTTGAGTTCTGAATCCATCCTGGGACACTTGGGTGAATTAGTGTGAACTTCATACTGTACTTTTAGTTCAATTGAGGATAAAAAGTAACTCAAACATTATCTATAATGTGTAAAAAAACAGAACAAACAACAAATCAACCCCATCCCCTATACTCATGAGGATAAAAAGTTTTATTACTTGAAAGTGTTTTTAAAATAAAACATATACAGCTGCTTGAAAAATACTGTGTTATAGTGTGTAAAAAACAAACCAAACAACACTACAAACAAAACAAACATCCCCTATACTCATGAGGATAAAAAGTTTTATTACTTGAAAGTGTTTTTAAAATAAAACATATACAGCTGCTTGAAAAATACTGTGTATTATGAAATACCTCTGAAATGTAGTCTTACAGCCACGCATTTCAGGGCCTTTAAACTAGGTGAATTTTATAAGGATGTTAAGAAATTCCTATTCTTCCCATTTAAAGATCCCAGTGCATTTCAGGTCCTTTAAACTAGGTGAATTTAATAAGGATTAAAATTTAAGAAATTCCTATTCTTCCCATTTAAAGATCCCAGTTACAGATCTTTGGAAACATATAATGACTGCATGTACACATGCATACACACACACACAATTGTAAATCAGTCCTCACATCATGTAATCAGTATTGAACTGGCTTTTCTTTTTATTTCTGTGCAGGCTGCACTCGTGCTGTTGCTGTGAGGTGAATTCAGTCTCTGCATGCACCTGCCCAAACAACCAGCAAAACAGCAAGGACGGGCCTGGAAATGCTGCAGACTCTGTTACAGTTTTCAAGCATGGGATGCAGAGGAGAGGTGACACTTTTGTTCTGGAAATATTTCTGTGTTATATTGGCCTACACTGAGAATAACAAGGGAGCCGGAGAGTGACAAATGTTGGCAACCCCTCAATTTTTATTTGGTGTCTGAATATTTACCACTCTTAGACTCTTAAATGCATCTCTTCTGGAAGTGAACTAGTCCATATCCATGTAGTGACCTTAATTTTTTCCAAACGTGTTCCTTTTTCCTAAAAACAAAACAACAACAACCTGTCAAATGAATCTGCCTGGGACAACTAAGAAGACCAAACTGGCCCAAATAAGGAAAATAACATTCAATTTCAGTAACCAACAGCATCATTCATTTAGGAAAAAGGAGGGGAAGATAACCTTCCTTAATGTTCTATTCCACAACATAACTAACTTGAATTGCAGCTGGCCCTGTTTGTTGCTTAGAAGTCCTTCGATCTCAGTGTGACAAGGCTTTTGACAGAGCTAGTTGACTGCAGCAAAGCATTCAGAAATTCTGAAGTGCTACTTATCATTGCATTGGTGCAGTGGAGACCTTACCTGTTTTCCATATATTATCAGTAGTTGGAATTAATTCAGGAAACACTCAGACCTCAGCACACTGAATTGCATCTAAAACACACAGAGATTTACATTTGACTGTTCCTGAAAAGCTGTGTCTCAGAAACACTGTTTTGTTTATGTGTTTTTGGGTTTTTTGTGTGTGCTTTTTTTTTTTTTTTTTTTTTTTTTTGTCGTGCCTCTCACATCATGCCTTCGGCTCTAGATCCTTATGTTCATTACAACACTGGCATACTGTCCTAAAACCCATGGGATCATATGGAACACTTACAGAAAACTACATCATGTGCCCTCTGGATCAATTACTTTCCTACTGATGGCATCACAAGCTGAAGCTCTTACAGGCCAAAATTTGGTATAGCTTTACAGATCCATCCTGATGGATCAGTGCTGTGCTTGGAATAGCATAATAAATAAAAATCCATATGCAGAGAGAAAGGGCATACTCATAAATACATCAAATACTCATGGCGTTAGATCTTCAGAAATAGGGAGGGATTAGCAAGAATAAAGTGTAGAGAGAAAAGCAATAAGGACACAGAGGATATATAATCAGATTTTTTAATAGCTCAACTACATTTAACCTCCACATGAGAACAGCTGACAGCACAGCAGAGTACAGACTTGGCAGATGTGTAAAGCCAAAGTCATCAAGCCCATTAAAAAAGCATCTTCATGTTAATGGACTAAAATCTCGCAGTGCTTAAGGGCAACAGAACGTGATGGATGGGGAACCAGGCATGGAGCTGAACACTGTCAGTGCATGTAAACGGGATAAAGCACCACAGGTGACCCAGATGAGAGAGGTGAGGAGGGAGCAGAGTTGGAGCAGGACCACGCTGCCCTTGACATGTCCTTTGCCACCCCAGCGTCCCTGCAGGTGTGGGTTTTGTGATGCTCACACCTTACCCTGAGAGCAGGCTCGGGCTGAAGTGCCCAGCACCATGGATGGCCTGGAAGAGAAAGGTGTGGAGAAAGCAGGGCTGGGGCTGTGCCATACTCACCTTGGCATGTCTTTGGTGGCACCAGTGCCTCTGGAGCTCTAGACTTTGTGGCTCTTTGAACCTGAAGCCAAACCTAAAAGCACCTTTAGACCGAGATGCAGGGCACCATGGGTGGCACAGATGACAACAGTATGGAGTGAGCAAGGTTGGGGCATGCCTTTTGCCACCCCAGTGTCCCTGGAGCTGCAGGATTTGTTTCTCTGATCCCTATCAGTCATCACAGACTGGCGCTGAGGCCCCCAGCCAGATGGGCCTACACTGTTTTATGTACAAACAGGTTTAATTCAAACTCAGTTTGCATTGGTTTTGTATATTAATGTTCCTTTAGTTTGTTGTCTTTTTATTACTAAACCCTGGTATTGCCTTAGCAGCTTCACTGAGAACAGAGCTTTCCATCTTGTGCTACTTCATAGTCGTTTACAGGAAATTTTCATTAACTGTATTCTTCATATTCTCATGATGTATTAAGTAGTTTAGCATTAGTGGCTGGAATGGTTGTAGCATCAGGCCACAAGAGCTGACCAAAATGAAAGGTTTTGTTAAAAGCTAACGCTGCTAATGTGCAACTAGCCCAAAGCAGAATAAAAAAGGTAAGGAAGGACCAAGGAAACAACTCAAAGAATTGAGGTAATGTCAGATGAAAAAAAAAACCACAAAACCCAACCAAACAAAACAAACTGACCAGAAGCAACTGATGGGCTTGGGAATTGAGTGCTGGGTGGCCTGTGTGGGATTGAAGGTTAATTTTTGGTGTAGTGTTCACTCTACAGATCCACCCAACTCAAGCTGTAACCTGAGAACTAATGAAAGACAAGCTGGAAACCTTCACTTGGACAAGTGCAGTAACCAGCAGGATCCCAGGGGCAGACCCTGTTGTTGTGGTCAGTGTAATTAATTAATAAGAGGAGTGACTGACAAAGTACTTTCTAACATAGAATGTAAAATTTTCATAAATGTTCATAGTGTTGTGACAATGTTGTTTGCACTTCTACCATCTGATACATCGGATAGAATGTGAGCTCAAAGTGGGAGAGAAGAGAGAGGCAATGGTGCAGCAGGGCAGAACTGGCCAGGCCTGTAGGAGAGCTGTGCTTGGCCGAGTTCAAACTTTGCTTCAGAGGAATCAACAGGTGATTCACATTGTGAGGAAGCCCACAAAAGGGACGTGCAGATGAAAACATGTCCACAACCTATCTTTGCATACTGGCTTGCATGGAATCCACCTTCACAAAACACTTACACTACAATAGTTAATTCAAATGAGAAGCTTGTTTTCATATGGATATGTATCTGTTCAGAATTTTTCAGAAACTAATAGCTGTCAAGTAGGACTGATTCAAATATTTTTTGTCCTAGAAATGCTGTCATCAGATCTTAAATATATTTGGATGAAATGAGGTATTTCAGCTGAATGTCAGTAGCTGTGCTCTGTTTTACCCATTGGACTGATAAGAACATTCTTCCAGGCCACGATTTTGATTTGAGCCAGTTCATCCATGGAGGATGGCTAAAGGGCCAGGAACAGTCCTAGCCAAACACCTTGCTGAGCATCTAAAATCACCTGCAAAAGCACCTTGATTACCAACAGCAGCTCTCAAGCCAATCCTCAGCTGTTCAGCACAGAGGTCTTGCTCACAACCAGCTTTGCCTTGGCAGTATTCTTTTGTCTCAGGCTCCCCTGCAAAAAGCAAAGAAATTTAGCTGAACCTTGCTGACACCAGAGGATCCTCCACTTCTATTCTCACTTGGACTTAGGGAATCTTGCACTATGTCACCAGTGTCTATGTACCACCCATTTGCTGTGTATTACACCCCAAAACTACTTCAGACTCAGGCATTATAATTTAGAGTTTATATGAACCCTGAGAAAATAAAAAGCACTGCACATCTTTCTTTCTCAGCTGACAAAGTGTTAAGTGTTTTTTTACTATTCGAGCATGAAACTCACTCAGAATGAATCCAAATAATACTTAATTTAGTAAAACACAATGAGGTCTTCAAAAGACTAGAGGAAAAGTGACAAGAGCTGAAGGCAAATAAAACCTGTCTCCCTGTCTCACTGCTCAAATATAATTTGTTTCTTGAGCATGCAAAAAACCCCCAAAAACCAAGAAACAACAAAAAACCAAAACCCCCATCATTTCTGATGCTACATTTTGCTGAAATGTAACTATGACCAATGGCTTCTATAAGATATTAAGTATCTTCTAAATAAACTGTTAGAAAAAGCTAATTTACTTGATTTAATAATTTTTTTTTTTTTTACTTATAAGCATATGCAAGTAAGTCCAGGTAAACATATCCTCAGCCATCTCAGTAAAATGAAATGAGTTAGCTTTCGCTGCATCTCATTTCTGCAGTCCCAGTGGTAATCCACAGGAATTAAAAAATCTGTGCGGAAAAACACAAGTCGTACATCAATGACCAAATCTGGGGGAATGAATAAATCACAGCAGAGATTTCTTAATTCCTAAAGCACTACTCCCGATGCCTTCCCCCCTCCCTTTTAACCCTCCGAGGTTCAGAAGCAGAAAATGGCTGAAAGTGAGAAAAACAGAGGAAAGAAAATGGTGTCGAGGCACTTGATTGGTCAGATTTTGCTGCAGAGTCCAAGTTTCTCACACAGAGAAGGAAATATTCCTAAAATGAAGTTTATCAGCAGTTAAAACTAAACTGAGCCTTGCAATCTTAGGCTTTCCAGGAGAAATATTTCCCCTAAGCATTTCTCGGTGGCTCCTTATTTCCTGGTTTCAATGAAGGCTGTGTCTAAATTCAACAAACAGCTTCTTCAAGCCCGTGGTACTCATTTGCAGCATCGAAAAACCAAAGGGACACAATTTCCAATAATTTAGTGGAACAGCAGGCTCCCTAAATAACATAAAACTACCTGTAGCATTAATATATATGTAAAGGTACTGTAAAGGCCGAAATAATTTTAGAAGTGCACGTTTCTCAGGCAACTAAAAATCTATTTACTAGAAGAGTGGGTGGGGGGGTGTCCGAATTTACAGTCCGGGGAGAAATCTGTTTTTTAGTAGGTTCACAAAAACCACCGAACACAACAGATAGGGAAGAGCCTCCATTTAGAAATTATTCTACACTTGCTAAGTTTTCAGGCACAGATTCTTCTTGGAAAACGCTTCATCTGTGGTAACTTCAACACATCTTTTTGGGAGCCTCAATATTGACAGAGAAGATTCATGCAGCCTAAAATCTCTACCATTAAAGACGTTACGTGTGTGGTCCTAGACAAGACATCAGCCAGGAGCACACGACTTGGAAAAAGGACTCAGAAAACATCCTTGCCTCCAACCTTATATTCCACCCACCCCCTCACTTTAGGAAACACATTTATGTCGGGAATAAATAGCAGTGCTCGAGAGAGGCCGAGCATGCCCGCGGGACGTCGCTCACAAGCAAGAGTGATAAAGCACCGAGGAAAGTACTGATGGAAAGTCCTTCCAGGGAAGGCGGGAAAGGAGTTTTTGCGCTTTCAGAAACAAAGCGAGTCGCACAGGCTCTCCCAAAAACAAAAATAAAAGGGGGGGGGGGGGAGGGGGGGGTGGGCGAGATACAATATTGCTGCTAGCATAATAAAGCCATAAAGTGAAAAACGATGAAGTTAAATGAGGGACATAAAGGCAGCACATTTACAATACACAGGAGGCATATGGAGTGCATTTTACTCCTCCAATCATGAGAATACGATCCTATAGAAGTTTCCGCGAGCTGCGAGCCCAGCAAAGCACCGAGAGCAGCCCGGTAATAACTTCGGGAGCGCTCGCCGCTGGTTTTTATAGCCGAGCGCTGCCTGGTGATTGGCTGATGGGAACGGCCGCGCTCGGGGGGAAGGTTTGAAAATCCCGCGTTAACCCCTTCTTCGGCTGAGCCCCGCTCCCGAATTCCTAACCCCGACCCGCCTTTTCCCTTGGTCTTCCCTTTCTTCCGGACTGACCTTACTGCTTTTTAACGACTTGTCTTAATGAATTGAATTACTCTGCCGCTTAAAGTGGGTAAAAGTAAAATACAAATTTCCAAGAATTGCCGATAATTTGTTTGTAATCATGTTTACTTACTGATACTTTATTCTTTATTTAAACTGGTGGCTTATATTTTGTCATCCTACATTCTTATGGAAGTATTAACAAAGGAACCGTGTGCTTTGCATCCGTTCTGAAACAAAATCTAGCGCAGTGGGTTTTTTTTTTTTTATTCTGCTTCTTATTTTCTTGGTTTCTTTGCTTGGGTTTTGTTATTTTTGGGTGGGGTGGGGTTTTTTTTTTTGGTTTTTTTTTTTTTCGTTTGCTTGCTTTTAAGTTTGTTTTTGTTGCTGTGGGGTTTGAGAGGATTGTGGTTCTCTTCGGGTAAATCTTTATAGACTAACTACATTTTTTAAAATGCAGAGCCGCAGGTACCATAAGGAAGCTTCTTCGGGAAAAAAAACAACATTAGAAATAGACAGATGTTGATTTTTTCTTACACAAAGAAAGCAACACAGGATTTGTTGGGAACCACTGGGGCTCGGAGCGGCTTCAGCTGTAACCCAATAGAATCCTCCGCTGCGCTGACCAATCAGCGGCGGGAGGCGGGGCCGCCGTGCTCCATAAATGGGGCTCGAGGGAGCGCAGTGCCGTCGTTCCAGGGCGCTCGGTGCTGGGGCTGCGATGGCGCGCACGAAGCAGACGGCGCGGAAGTCGACGGGCGGCAAGGCGCCCCGCAAGCAGCTGGCCACCAAGGCTGCCCGCAAGAGCGCGCCGGCCACGGGCGGCGTCAAGAAGCCGCACCGCTACCGGCCCGGCACGGTGGCGCTGCGCGAGATCCGGCGCTACCAGAAGTCCACGGAGCTGCTGATCCGCAAGCTGCCCTTCCAGCGCCTGGTGCGCGAGATCGCGCAGGACTTCAAGACCGACCTGCGCTTCCAGAGCTCGGCCGTCATGGCGCTGCAGGAGGCCAGCGAGGCCTACCTGGTGGGGCTCTTCGAGGACACCAACCTGTGCGCCATCCACGCCAAGCGCGTCACCATCATGCCCAAGGACATCCAGCTGGCCCGCCGCATCCGCGGGGAGCGCGCCTGAGTCCCCTGCCCTTTGCATCAAATTGAAAGGCTCTTTTAAGAGCCACTACAAGGCCACTGAAGAGAGCTGTTGTCTCTTGTGTTATGCCCATGCCACGCGCTTTTGAGTGCCCAACTTATTGGAAGTTCAGGGATAACTGGGGAAATGTGAACCTTCCATAGCCTACAGCCTTGGCCGCCCCTTGCACCCCGGTGTGTCGGTCATTGTCAGGTTCACCGCCTAAAGCCGCCGGGGCTGACGAGGGTCTAGGGGGCTGTGCTGTGCTGGGTGAAGGCGAAAGCGGTGCCTAAAGAACAGGCAGCCTCAGAAGCGGGACGGGGGCGGGCGGGCTTCAGAGCACGGGGCTCGCAGGGTCTCTGGTGTGCAGTCCCTAGGGCGCTAAGGGGTGCTCTCCGCTGTTTCTTCTTCCCGCTCCGTCCCGCCCACCGAATGACAGAGAAGAGCGCCGCCATTTCAGGAGCTCCCTGCCCCTTCCAGGCTGTCGCGGTCAGTGGTGCCGCGACAGCGGCTACGGCAACGCCAGTTGTTCCCGACCTACCCCCTGCCTTAGATTTCTCTCGCCTGCGTGTCCCTTGCCCTTTGGAAAGAGGGTCTGGGCTAAGCGCCTGGTGCTCCGTGTGGAAGAGAATGGGGGAAATAGAGGATGTAACCTGCAGAACGCATTTCCCCATAGCACCGAGAGCCCCCAGTCATGCGCTACACCTGCTACCCTCGTTTCGTTCCTCGAGTAAAAATTAGGTTATTACTGCTAACTTGAATGCGACTTTCCCCCTCGGAACGCAGAAGAAGTGGGCTAAGCATCTGTGGGCTCTGGGAAAGCCGAGAAAAAATAAAATCCCTTCCCATTTCCCTCCAACCCCAAAACCGAAATAATTGTAACCTTAACAGCGATTGAAAGCTCTTTTTAAGAGATACGTGGGTGGCTCTTAAAAGAGCCTTTTGTTGTAGAAGCGCTGAAGAATAAGAGAAAAATGAATTTAGCCGCCGAAGCCGTAGAGGGTGCGACCCTGGCGCTTGAGGGCGTAGACCACGTCCATGGCCGTGACCGTCTTCCTCTTGGCGTGCTCCGTGTAGGTGACGGCGTCGCGGATGACGTTCTCCAGGAAGACCTTGAGCACGCCGCGCGTCTCCTCGTAGATGAGCCCCGAGATGCGCTTGACGCCGCCGCGCCGAGCCAGGCGGCGGATGGCCGGCTTGGTGATGCCCTGGATGTTGTCGCGCAGCACCTTGCGGTGCCGCTTGGCGCCGCCCTTGCCGAGCCCCTTGCCGCCTTTACCCCGACCAGACATGATCCCTCTCTCACACCACCTCCACTAATACAGCGGCAGGGACCCCGCGCCTGTGTATATTCTCGGCGGTCCGACCTGGTTGAGGACTGCAAAGGGAGGCGGGGTCTCCTGCGCCCCGACCAGACATGATTCCTCTCTCACACCACCTCGACTAATACAGCGGCAGGCACCCCGCGCCTGTGTATATTCTCGGCGGTCCGACCTGGTTGAGGACTGCAAAGGGAGGCGGGGTCTCCTGCCCTGCCCCCGCCCGGCGCCCCTCTCCTTCCCCCTCCCCGCGCCTGCTTCCCGCGAGACGCGGCCGAGGCGCGGTGGGGGCTGCGTCCCTGGGGCGCGCGCGGCGGCTCCGCCTCTCCTGAGCGGGTCTGGTCCCGTCCCGCGCTTCTAGCGGCCATGGAATCGCGGAATAGTCTGGGAAGGGAAGGACCCACAGGGATCATCCAGCCCGACTCTGAAGTGGTTGGTTCATACAGAGATTGAACGCACCATACTGCCCTTTTTCGCACGGGTCTCTAACCAGCTCAGTTAATGTCGGGCCCTCGCGTCCCTTTGCGGCTTTCCCTTCGCGCCGCTCGCCCTCTCGCTGGTGACAGTGCCACGGCCGCTCTGCGTCTCCGTCAGCAGCGAGAGCGGGGCCTGCGACCCCCGGCCCTCGTGTGGGGCTGCGGCGCCCCTTCCTCGTCCCTCCCCGCGGGTCTGCGGCAAAATCCCACCAATGCGGGGCCGCGCCGGGCGCCGCCGCCTCCCCCGCGCTCCTCCGCCTCCGGCAGCCCGGCCGAGCCGTCCTTCCCGCGCCGCGCTCTCTTTGTTCGCCCCGGCCATGGCGGCTGCGCGGTTTGTTTGTCTGCCGCAGCTGCCCCGGCTCCGTGCGGCGCTGGGCTGCGGGCACGGAGCGTTCCGTGCTCTCCCGTTGCGCGGAGCGGCTGCGGGTCGGTGCGAGGGGAGCGGGGGGCGAGGCACGGCCGGCGGGAGAAAGGGACGGCAGGGGCTGCAGCGGGAAGCGTTCAGAGCAGAGACCCCGCGAAGGCAGAGCGGAGGGGCTGCTGGAGCGCCGCAAGGGACCGTCCTTTCAGCCGGGCACAGCCCCGGGGCCCCGCGCTCGCTCCCGGCAGCTGCGGCCCCGGGAAGAACCGTCCCTGCAGTGCCCTGAGAGCCCGCAAGCGAAAGGAAGGATTACGGAAAGCACAAACGTCTGTCTGTATGACATCTGAAGAATGAGCACTAGCGAAACAATTTTCATTCCAATGAGGAATGCAGAATTTTTTCCCGTGTGTTTCAGAAAACATCATACATTCTGCTTACAGTATGTTGGAATTGTTTGTGAAGTGAATGAATAAATGCTGAGAGAGTTATGAGACTGTATTTCTATATTAGATCTGTCAAGATTTTAAATATTACTTGCACAGAATATAGCTGATATGCCTAAGGTACTTGCCAATTCTTATTATTATTTTATGTCCATTAAACGTGCCTACTCCTATAAAATTTTTCATATCCTTTTAAAATTGTGCAGTTATTTATTTAAGTTTATTCCTTAATATAATGTAGAAAACCTCAGCAGCATCTCCAAAATATTTCTGGGAATAAAATATTCCCTAAATTCAGGGGGAAATGCAATTGAGATAGTCATGCTTTCAGTTACAGGTGACAAAAAGGTAGAAATATTTTTATAAGTATCACTGTGAATTCCTTTTTCTTTTGAACTGAAAGAATTGCCACTCATATATACAGTATTAGGAGGAAAATATATCTCCAATTTAGATTAGGTTTGCTTTTTTGACTGAACAGAATGAAGTAAGGCTGTTTATAAACTAACTGGAAGATTTGTCAGTAGTGGGCCTGCCAGGCTGGTGCCTAACATTCCCGTTTGGCTCCACAAAGTCTGCTTTGTTCTTTATATCTGAAAATCTGTGTCTAGCTATGTTTCCTGAGGCAGTTAGGAACAGCATTCTGACTACTTAAGAAACCCGAAAGAAATGATGCAAAATCTTTTGGTATGTCAAAACAATAATTCATTCCTAAGGATTCCTAAACACAGAGTATCCTTATCCAGAGTATAACTTTTCCTTCCAGCAGTAAAACCACTGCAAGACTTGGAAAATCCCCTTCCATTTCTGCCAGAGATGGGTGATGGAGAGGCTGAGACCAGCAGCTTAAAGTAAATAAAACATCTGCAAAGCCCTTTCCTCAATAGGTGTGGTACATTAGATAGAATTTAACATCACACCTTCTAGAAGGCTGCCTTGCTTATGTGTTGCTGCAAGTGCACACAGACATGTTTCACGGGTGTCTGTTTATAGATCAGAGCATTTTTTTGGGCAAAAATAATTTTAAAAGAGAAGAAAGAAAATTTTGCTGCTCAATAAAATCCCTAATAAAGTTATTTCTACTGTGGATTGGAGATTTTTTTTTTTTTAAATCAAAGTTTAGTGTCCAATTCGCATATTATAGAAACTGTATTTTCCTCATGAATTTGGGCACACAGCACTAGGGGTTAAATGAGAAAGGAAACCTTTGCAAAAAACAGCTTGTTAAAGAAATTAAAAACCTGTAGCTTTTCAAGTGTGCATTAATTAGGACAGTTGCCCTAGTTCCTCATTAAACTATAATGAGGAAATTGCATTTGTTTATTACAATAAGGCAACATCTCACCATGGCTGCACAAGAGGGTACGTAATTAGTAAAAAAAGTCATTGCATCAGTGGATTATAACCAGCTTCAAAGCTGCTCATCATTTTCTTGAGAGATTAAGTGGCAATTTAAATCCATATCTGTATCTGCTGCAACTGTCATAATAGGTATAATAATATGCACACTGAAGTAATGTTAGAGCTGCTAAATAGGTACATTTTTTTCTAGCATTGCAAGCAATGTAGAAGAAAAGGGCTAGAAAAGCTCTTAGAATATTTAACCATGCAGTTTTCAGTCTTTTTATATATATTCTGGCATTGCCAAGTCCTCCCCAAGCATAAATGTGATCCATAGCACTTGCAGGACCATGGTTGCAGATTCAGGTTTTTATTTTTGTCACAAATTCTTCAGAATGTGAAGGTGCATTGCAACCCAGTGACACAGCTAAGCTACCATGTGATACGGATTTCATCGTTCCTACTGCTTATTGCATATGCAAATGAGAAAAATTCGTTTATTTAGACTTGCTTAGCTGCATTCCTTCATCCACTGGAATTTGCCTTAAAGCTGTCTTTAACACCAGGAGATTTTCCAGCTCTCCTGCCATTTAATCCATCTGATTTACTGGATTTTTTTACATTGGAGACCTCATCACTGGTGAAGGCAACACCGGGTCAGCAACTGCTGAGGCCACTACTGGCTAAGACAAATCCAGGGAGTGTTGAGGGGTGGATCTAAGCATCACAGAGGATGAAACTCCAGGTACTGAGGTGAGAAGACAGATGAGTGTAGTAAGAGTTTGGAATGAAATTCTGGAGCAAATAATGAATTCCTAGTCAGATGGCAGGAAGAATTTGGGGGGATACGCTGGGCTTAGCTCCACACTCAGAGGATGGGACTCTCTCTTGTGCTACCAGCTCTGACCTCCACATACAGGAGTTTGTCCACAGAGAAAGCCAACTCCTGCTTAGCTCTACCCCACGGTAGAATTTTCTGGAATTCCAGTGCTTTGACCTGGAGATACACACTTGTGGCCCAGAAAGCCCATCCTGACAAGGGGTGCAACAAACGCAGCCTGAACGGAAGGTCGAGGCAGGTGATTCTGCTGTTCTACCCAGCTCTCCTGAGACCCCACCTGGCGTGCTGCATGCAGCTCTGTGATCTTCTGGCATGAGAAAAGACATTAATCTGTCAGAGCAGCTCCAGAGAGGGCCACAAAAACTATCAGAGGGTCATCTGTCCCATGAAGAAAGGCTGAGGGAGTTGTGGTTGTCTGGCCAGGGGAACAGCAGGTTCTGAGGAAACCCATAGCAGCCTTTCAGTACAGAAGGTTCTTTTCAGGCCTGTAGGGACAGGAGGAAGGACAATGACTTCAAACTGAAAGAGGCCACCTTTAGATTGCACATAAGTTAGGAATTTTTTGCAAGGAGGCTTGTGGGACCCTGAACAAGGCTGTCCAGGGAAAATGTGGATGCCCCATCCCTAGAGGATGCCATCCCTAGAGTCAGGCAGGATGGGGTTTTGAATAGCCTGGGCTATCAAGGGTGACCCTGCCAAAAAGCAGGGGTTTTGGATGAGATAATCTTTAATGGTCCCTTCCAACACAAACCATTCTGAGACTGAAATTTTCTGATAGACACATATGTAGAAATCTGTTCTGGAAACTAAGTATAGAAGGCTCATGAATGTTAAAATAAAACTTTAATTACCATTGCAGTTTTTAAAGAAGAGAAGTGTAAGGGCCAGGAGATATTTAGCTGTAGCAAATGGTCAATAAAACAGCATAATAAAGCCACTACAACCCTAAACATGTCCACTTAAAAACAAAACCTTTAGATCCAGACACCATCACTATAAAAGATTTGTCTGGTGCTCCAGCAGCTCTCTTCTTTATATTTCTCTCCACAAATGATCCCTGGCACCCTGCTTTGGCCATGGCACAATGCTGCCTTAAAAACCTCTCAGCTGCAGCCTGGGGATGGCAAGGAGGCACAGTGGGAGAATTGCCTTTCCCTGAACCCAGGGCACTCCTCCTTCTCTCCACGGGATGGAAAGAGCAGAGGTGCAGCAAAGATGAGACCCTATGTGTTAAATATATGCTTACATTAGCACCTCGGTGCAGTGTGCTACAGACCATCAGATGAGGATTCTGGGATATTATAGCAAGAGGAATCAGCCAGAGAGTTTTCCACACAATTTATGAATGAATTTTCCGGAGGAGCCGATGGACACGGCCCACGGGGAACTGCAGCCCGGCCCGCGACGAGCGTGACTTGGCCTTGGCTCGGACCTTGCCTCCTTGTTTCCCGCGGCCGGACATGCTGGAAGCGCTGGAAGGAGCAGCGGCTGGGCACGGAGCAGCACACAGACAATCACCCTGACGCAAGCGCCGCTCCCCTTTTATCCCTTCCCTGGGCGGGACGAACCCGCGGCGATTGGCTGGAGCCGGGCTCTGCCGGAACAACCAATGAGCGGCCGGATCGTGTCCGGACCAATCGGCGACAAAGACGCGCCAGGCACAGGAAGGACCAATCGTATTGCGCAGTGCTGATCCCTGAAATTTGCATACGCGTCTGTATAAATAGCGGGCTCTGCGGTCATTCAGCGTGCTCAGCTTCCTCCGGGTGCCCGAGCGTTACAGCCATGCCCGAGCCGGCCAAGTCCGCGCCCGCGCCCAAGAAGGGCTCGAAGAAGGCGGTGACCAAGACGCAGAAGAAGGGCGACAAGAAGCGCAAGAAGAGCCGCAAGGAGAGCTACTCGATCTACGTGTACAAGGTGCTGAAGCAGGTGCACCCCGACACGGGCATCTCGTCCAAGGCCATGGGCATCATGAACTCCTTCGTCAACGACATCTTCGAGCGCATCGCGGGCGAGGCGTCGCGCCTGGCGCACTACAACAAGCGCTCCACCATCACGTCGCGGGAGATCCAGACGGCCGTGCGCCTGCTGCTGCCCGGCGAGCTGGCCAAGCACGCCGTGTCCGAGGGCACCAAGGCTGTCACCAAGTACACCAGCTCCAAGTAGACGGTTTCTGCGATCTTTCTCCCATCTTTTTAACCCAAAGGCTCTTTTAAGAGCCACCCACATACTCCGTAAAAGAGCTTTAACACAGTAGTGCCTCGGACTTCTTGGGTATGGAAATTAACTAAAAAAAATAGATAGAATTTTGAACAAACGTTTAGTCGGCTACTTAATCTTGCAATAATAGTTACAAAATCCTTGAATATTTTTTCCAAGTTAGAGGTAATTCAAATGTACTCACTCTTCTTAAATGTAAACGTCTAAATAGTTCTTCAATAAATGTATTTTTTTACAGTAAAAATAAGTGACAATACTTAATCATTTGTTCTATCCAAATTAGAAGTTTCACAGTTAAAACAGCAAACATGCTTCACGAAGATAAAAAACATCTAATAATTTTTATGAAAAGGCAGCGGGGGAAATACCCGACCCTCTTTACCTTCGGTATTGATGTTTCGGAATTGTCTTAAGCAGAAACGTATTGCCTTGTGTATGAGAAGACAAGGACTACAGCTCTGGGGGAAGGTGTAGGCACTTTAGGGGGCTGAGAATCCCACGGAGCGCGGGTGGGCTGGGAGCCAGAGCGGGCAGCGCTCCGCGCCCGCCTCCCTTTCTCCCTTTTTCCATCCCCTCCCCCTTCCCCTGCAGCGCGGGCTTTTCCAAATTTCCCAGCGGCCCAATGAGCGGCTGCGGCTTCTCCCACCGCCAATCCCCGGCGGCTCCGGGCAGCCCCCGGCGCCGCGCTGAGCTGCGCGCCGCTCCGCCCTTCGCCGCTCCGCCTCTGCTGCTCCTCCTCTGCCGCTCCCCCTGCGCTGCCCCTCCTCTGCCGCTCCGCCCCGGCCGCTCCGCCCCCGCGCTGCCGCCCGCCCGAGCTCCCGCCGCCAGCCCGGCAGGGCGCGGGAGAGCCGCGCTGGGGACTCCTACCCGCCTCCCGCCCCGGCAAGCGCCTCCTCGAAAAAGTAGGTCGGTGAAATCACGCAGAAATGGAGACCTGCCCCACGCCAGCGCTGGCGAGAGGGAAGGTCACTGCCAGGGAAGCGGAGGAGCCGTGCTGACAGTTCCCTGCTACGGTCACCAAGAGGTGTGGCGGTCGCATCCGTGCTGTTAGGAATCGCGCTGATTTAGAGCAACGAGAGGAACCTCCACGCCCCAGAAAGGTACCCGCCCTTAAGCAGTCCCTTTAACATATACACCCGCTTGCGGTGCTCCAAAAAAGAAAAGAAAAAAAAGGAAAAAAAAAAAAAAAAAGTAGCCTTTAGAAAGTGTTTTCGCCGGGAATGTAAACTTTTATTTTCCCAAGTCTTAGTGTAAAAACCAGGGCCGGAAGTTTAGCGTCCCATCCACTCCACAGACTTACGTCCCACACGGATAGTGGCGAATAGTTGGCTCTGCTGCAGGCACGGAGCTCAGTGACGGAGTGTATCAGCCCTTTTGGGGACAATAGTGGGTGGCTCTTAAAAGAGCCGTTGGGTTTAAAAGTATTTCCACTTCAACACTTCATTTCTTCGGCGCTGCCTTCTTTGCCTTGACTGCTTTCGGCTTGGCCGCCTTGGGCTTGGCTGCTTTGGGCTTCACCGCTTTCGCCTTAGCCGGGCTCTTCGCTGCTGCCGCCGCTTTTTTGGGCTTGGCAGCCTTTGTCGCCTTCTTGGGGCTCTTCTTCACCGCCGCCGCTTTCTTGGGCTTCTTGGCGGCGCTGGCGGGTTTCTTCGCCGCCGGCTTCTTGGGCTTGGCTGCAGCTGTTCTCTTCTTGGGGGCTTTTTCCTTCACTTCCCCGGGTTTCTTGCTGAGGCGGAAAGAGCCGGAGGCGCCGGTGCCCTTGGTCTGCACCAGGGTGCCCTTGCTGACGAGGCTCTTGAGCCCCAGCTTGATGCGGCTGTTGTTCTTCTCCACATCGTAGCCGCCGGCGGCCAGCGCCTTCTTGAGCGCGGCGAGCGAGAGCCCCTTGCGCTCCTTGGAGGCGGACACGGCCTTGGTGATCAGCTCGGTGACGCTGGGCCCCGCGGGCTTGCGGGCTTTGGAGCCGCTCGCCGCCTTCTTCGGCTTCTTGGCGGCGGCCTTGGCGGCGGGGGCCGCGACAGCGGGAGCGGCGGCGGGAGCGGTCTCCGACATCGCTGCAGAGACTTCTTCCTAATCAAAAGAAAGTAATTGGGCTACAGTAACCCCGATGCCTGAATTTATAGCGAAGCGGTGATCTGTGATTGGTGCTTTGCAGAGCCCGCCTAACTGTTAGCCAGGAAGAGCTTTTCCTCCTCCGAGTCTGTGTTTCTTCGGAGTTATAAATTCATATTTTTCGTAAAACGAGTGCCGCAAAATCACCCCAGTTTCTTCGGAGAGTGAACAGAAGACGGTGGACTTTCATTCGGGCAAGTTTCTTGCTGTTTGGTCCACAGATGGGAGAGAAAAGCTGTTTTAAACCCCGCGTTGTGAAGCCAGAAAGACCCCGGGAACGGCAAACTTTTGTTTTTCCTTCTAAATTAAAATAAAACACGTAGATAAAAAGTCTCCCCCGTAATGCAGGCTTACTCTTTGGGGGGTTTTCTTCAGATTAGGACAGAAACCGAGTGAGCAGCTTAAGTATTTTTGTCGTAAATTGGTTTCAAAGACAAGGAAGTAACACAATTTCATGGCTAAGCTTTGAATATGGATAAAGATTCGGCTCTCTTAACCATATCTTTAACTATTAAGGATACGGTATTTCAACATATTTTCTTGTTTGGGGAAAGGAAGAGACCTTCAGAGGAATATATATACTGTTGAAAAGTGTTTGGAACTTGCCAGGGCTATGCTTTTTGTTGTTGGGGTTTTTTTTTGTGTTGTTTTGTTTTGTTTTTTGTGTGGTGCTTTATAAGTGGATAGAAAGATTTTGATATTTTTACAAATAGTCTGTCTGTAAAATGAAGCTGTTAATGGCTAGTTAATGCCTAGAAATCCCAGACAAACGGGTAGTTTAATGCTTTCTCTGTTACAACAGTGCATGCTATTCTTTATGACTTACAAACATCAGAGGCAGACTTGGAGGGGAAAAAATGTCTAACAGGTATAGATACACTAATATGTATTATATGCCACTTAAACAATTATGGAGCCAGCTGAAGCATCAGTTATCACCCAATAAATTAAATGCTGTGGAAATCTGGCCTTCATGAATAGAATGCTTCCATTTCAGTGTAACTTACAAATATTTGGACACTGACTGTTATGGTTTTGTGTGGGTTTTTTTGTTTGTTTTGGGTTGGGTTTTTTCCATAGGTTTCATATTCCTCCAATACTTTTTTTTTTTTAACGGAAAAAAAACTCACTATTGAGGCTTCCATCCCAAGCCTAATAATACTGAAATAATTTTCAGACAATCCTCATAAATCAGAATCAGTTTTAATTATCATAATCCTGCTTAATTATTGAGTATCATAAAGTGACCATAGAAATTAATTAAAACTTTTAAGGACTTGTTTGGGCTAATTTTTTTTATTAAGTAAAAAGACAAAGGCCTCGATTGGTTTCTAATAAAAAGCAGCCAGATTTTATTTTCCCTTTGGTTTGAAAGAACAAGTTAAGATCAAACTTAATATTTTACCACATTGTACTTTGTAAAAAAATTTCATGCAAAATGTCAGTGAGCTATTACAACAAAAGAACATCTTTTCAAGCCGGGATAAATTTGAGATTCAAGATGACATGGGGTGTGTTACAAAGGGCCCTGACACGCATTTTGATACATTAAATGTTGAAGACACAAAGTTATACTTGATAGCAAGAAGTTTTAATTTAAATGAGACAGATTTAAAAGATAATGATACAGTAGATACATTAAAATTACAAATCAAAACAACAAACTGTGGCTCTTCCGTATTCTCTTTTATTTCTATTTTTACTTTGTTGTGTTTGCATACAGGTGAAGTAATAAATACTCTGAAGGAGAGGAAGAGAGATTGGAAAAAAATTAGGCCTGTCGGTACTCCACGGTAAAAAACAGACTGAAAGGGATATTGAAGTGGGCTGGGAGATCTGCCATGCCTCTTCTGAACGTGACATTGGTCCCACAAAGACAACTAGACCAAGTCCACAGGAGCCAGAGATTTTGGAAGCTCGGTGTGGCAAGTCGTGTGAACAGTGTGCGTACGTTTGAGAGGTAAAAAAGCATTTGGTTTGGTAGGATGAGGGCATTATGCATATTTTCCAGTCTAGATGAACAAAGATAAAGCAGAATCTGGCTGTAAAAGCGATACAAGAGGGAGCAGGGAAGCGTTGTCATCTATCCCGGTCTGTTTAACGTGATGTACATTCTTCTGAGAATAAAGGCTGCACGACGGGTAATGTGCTTTAATCCCTGCAGCTTTGACAGTTTGGTGTTAGAGCTCTGTGACTGCTTTATTACACTTCAAACCGGTCAAGGAATGGCAGCGCCAGGGAGTGGACAATAGCCGCTCCTGCAGGAATGCGGCTGCAGCCCCAGGCTGCGTCCTCCTTGCACCTCCCTCGCATTCACACGTTTGAGCTCCCAGCTTGCTTTTGGGAAACCTGTTCTCAGCCCATCAGGAGGGGAGAGGTTTCCTTCCCTTCCCCCAGGAACAGACCCGCGGTTAGAGATAAAGACAAGGTACAAAGTGGCGGGAGATGTTAGATCTTCCTCCCCGAGTAGCGCAGTCATTAGAACTCCACCTGCAGCAGATGGGAATTGCTGTCCCTGCTCTGTGCTAAGTTTTAAAGGCGCAGGAACGTTTCTGAGTGCTTACGGAGTTTATTTGTTTGGATCCTTCTGTTTTGTTTTTGTAAGGAAAGCATATGAAGGTTGTCATGTTATATTTCAATGGCATATTTCAAGGGTGGAATGTAGGACTTCTCTCACTTTTGGTTCTGGGTGCATCCCTGTAAATCCCTCGCGTTCCCTGCTCCCTGTTTGGAGTTGCGGTACTGAAGTCCTTTGCTTTTTCCTAGTAGCCTGAGACATTGGAAGTCTTGGCAGTTGGCCTCCGGCATTGTGTGTCAGCATCCTTTATTGTATCTTTTCTTTAACCATCACACTGGCTCTTATCTGCGGAGAATTATCCCTGGCCTACTTCTGAGAAGACAAAATGTTCCTGGTCTCACC